GTAGCCCAAGCTGCCCTCAAATTCGTTGTAATCCTCCTGCCTCAGCCTTCCAAGTACGAGAGCTACAGGAGTGCACCACCACCATGGCCTCAGACTGTGCTTGCTGATTCTGGGCCCAAAGAGGACATTAGTTAGGCAGCTGTTCCTCCTGACGACAGGACTTTATCCCCTCTCTGGACTCTGAACCCAGAATGGGGTCTCAAATGTGACAAAGGATTTTATTTCCTCTTTTGTGATTTTTATTTATGCATGTAATATCTTAGAAGTGCAAATAAATGCTGAGCATGGCGGTGCAGGCCTATAATCTCAGCATTCAGGAGGCTGAGCTAGGAAGATCTCCCTGAGTTAGAGGGCAGCCTGACCTACACAGAGACGCTGTCTCAAAAAAGCAAAATAAAAAGACGGGCAAACAACTAATTTGGTTATTATGTTTACTAAGCTTCTTCAACTGACTCATATGCAACCAACATAGAGGACAAAGCACAGCCAGTATTATTGCTTCCTGTAATTCTGGTTCATGCGCCAGAAATTACAGGACAATTCCCACATTGTTGGACCTGCACGATTTGGGATTTTTTTGTCGCTGTGGAGAACTGCAGTGTTTGTGGACTGAGCGATTCTCGCAGAGCACATACCCTCAACAGGACTCCTGTGAGTCACATGGACCATCAGGCAGCCACGGTGGCCCACGGAACATAGGCCCCATAGGCCTAAAGATCCAAGGAACAGCAGCCAACTGCTTCAGTAAAGTGGGAGACACTTTGCACAGCCCGAATCCCACGAGAAGGCCCTGAGAATGACTTCAGAATGTGTTTTCAGAATGACTGCTGTGAAGTGTTTGAGGGGGCCCCAGCTCCTGCTGCTATCACCAGAGCTGAAAGTCCGGCCACAGGAGGCTGGATTTCTAAGGGCGACTCCTGATCCCATTGGTAATAAAGGGGAACCCCACCTTTACTTCAGAATGAACTCTCTGACTCTACTGAGGAGCCAAGAAATCCCAGGCTATCTCCTGCCCACTGGGTGTCACAGATCAGGCCTGTGTCTGTCTGGGAGGTTATTGCTCTGGCTGACCTCTCCAGGGAAGCCTTCTCCTTTCCATATCTCTCAAACAGGGAAAGAAAAAGACCTAAAAAGAAACCCCTAGTGTGGATTTCCATGGTAAACAGTGCTTCTAGATTCTTAGAAATAGAGACAGAAAGCTGGGTGTGGTGGCGCATAACCCTAATACCAGCACTTGGAAGGCTGAGGTAGGGGGATCACTCCTAACTAGGCTGGCCTGAACTACATAGTGAAACCCTGCCTTAAAAAAAAAAAAATTTTTTTTTTTAACTTTTTATCGGTACCGGGGATCGAACTCACGACTGCCTGCTTGCAAGGCAGGTGCATATGTCGCTGAGCTAAATCCCCAGCCCCCCAAAAATGGTTTTTTAAAAAAGAAAAAAGGAAGAGAAATAGGAACATACCCACCAACTCTATCTTTGTGAAATGGAGTTTCTCTGGTTCCCACGCTACTCCAGCTGTCTAAAGTTAATGTGGAAGAAAAACCAAAGGTGCCCAGCTAGAACCTGGTTGTGTGTGATTGTGGGTTCTGCCTCTTCCTTGTATTACAGGGCCAGCTGTGTGCCCAGTACTGTGGAGGATGGGGGGTAGGGAGGTATTGGTCAGGTTTGCCCCTGGGGAGCCCCTGGATTTCAGGCTCACTGGCCAGGGCTGGCTCAGAAATCTTTCTCCAGTGCCCTGTAGTCTTGGGGGACTTCCCAGGGCACTGATCCCTTGGGCCCCACTGAATGGAGGGGTAGGGGAGCCTGGAGCTCTGAGGACACAGCCCAGCATGGTGTGGACTGTATCCCAGAATCACTAACAAGGAGCCCTCTCTGGCAGCTTCAACCCTCCAAGCCTTTATGAGATGTGGGATGCAGGACAAACCACAGCCAACTCCAGGCAGGTCCTGGTGGTGACAGCAACCAGCAGCACCCCACAATAAGGACATCATACTGGTTGGCCTGACATTCTCCAGCTTTTCCTTCTTTGCAGGGTCCTCAAAACACATCTCAGCCCATTTTTATTTGCATTTTTAAAACTTCGAGATCATGTTTAGAATATGTAAAACTCTGAGTTTGCTACCCAGCACCAAAAACCAAGCAGAACATCCTAGAAGATAACAATCTCTCACTTGACTCACCTCAAAGAAAGAGGATCCTCAAAGCTAGGAGCTGAACAAAAGCAAGTCTTCCTCTTTTACAAAGCCCAGGAGACACCAAGGGTGTCTACAAGAGAAACCAAGAATGTCTACAAGAGAGACCGTAGCCACAGAGTCTTAGGGAATAAGAAACCAGAAATTTTAGCTCCTGGTTCTCCCTGCTTGGCTGAATATTAGGGAATAGGGCGCTTCAAAAAATCCTGATGCGCAGGTATGGCTAGATGGCTGGATGTATGACAAAACAATCACATTAGCACCCTCAGCACATGGCAGAATCTAAGTGTAGCTATATAATTGCTCACTGCAGATCCCTTTCCATTTTGCCATAAATGGAACATTTTCATTATGTAACATTGGGGCCAAGTCCCTTGCCGGTCTCACCACACTGCAGTTTCACTGGTACCGATGGTGCACTGGGGGTTGTAAGAGTTCCCAGGGGAGGCTGGTGTCCAGCCAAGGGTGAGCCTCACTACTGCAGTCTGGACCCACGTGGCTCACATAGTCTCATTGACATCATCTAGGAACTTACTAGAAACACAGATGAGGGCTGGGGATTTAGCTCAGCGGCATAAACGCCTGCCTTGCAAGCAGGCAGTCGTGAGTTCGATTCCTGGTACCGATAAAGATGAAAAAGAAAAAAAATAAAAAAAGAAACACAGGTGAGCAGGCTCAGACCCAGGTGGGCAAAGTCAGCAACTCTGGGAACAGAGCCAGCAACTGACATACTAATTAGGCATTGTTTCTTAAAATTTCCCTGGTAATTCTGACAGGCCCAGACTTAAGCTCAGGCCCTTTCTTGGGCAGATGGGGAACTGCTGGGGAGCTGTTGCACAAGGCTACACAGTGTCCCAGAGAAAGAGGGAGAGTAGGTCCCTGCCCCTGGGCTCCTCCTATGCACTCCCTATAATTTATGTCGATCAAGGGGTCAGTAGAATCACTCCACTTCCAGTGTCCGGTTCTCAAATGTGGTGCACACTGGGAATAGCTGGGAACTTTAAGAGATGCAAAGTTTTGCAAAGTAAGCAGGTACAAGAAGTGACCTCTCCAGCAATCTTCTGCAGAGTAGCCTTCGGTAAGAAACTCTGGTCAGTGAGCGAGAGGGCAGTTCTGGGCCTGCCTGAAAGGCACTTGCTCAATCCAAAGCCAACTGCATGTATGAACCAGCTGTGTTTGTGGAATCCCAACCTGGGAAGGGAGCTCCCTGCTCTTACAAGCTTGTTCAGTGCCTCTGGCTGGTTGTGGAGTCACCAAAGAGCCGGAGTAGTTGTTTAAAAATGTGACCTGGTAGGACATGATGGTACACGCCTGTAATCCCAGCACTCTGGGAGGCTGAGGCAGGTAGATCACAAGTTCTAACCCAGACTGTGCACCTTAGTGAGACCTTGTTTCAAAATAAACAATAAAAAATGACTGGGCATATATATAGCTCAGTGCAAAGGTCCTGGGTTCAATCCCCAGTACTGCCCTCCCCCCCAAATTTGACCCTGTCTAAAAAGACTCAGTAAATAGTGTCTTCAACACAGTGCTATGAAGGACAGCTGGAAAGGACACAGAGAGGAGGCAGAAGGACCAAAGGCTCAGTAGGAGAGAGGAAACCCAAAACCAGCTCTGAGCGCCTCCCTTTGCCTTGGCATCCGTGCCACCCAGGAAGGAGGCTCCCACCTACAGAAGTGCAACTCCCGACCTGGTAGAACAGAGGCCAAGCTCCTAGGAGAAGAGATGAACAGAGTGGGGGGCTCAAGGGACCAGCGTCTTCCTCCTATGGGGATAAAACTGAGGCACTGAAAATGGAGCGACGTTGCCTAGAAGACAGGCTGGGACAAAGGAAGGAGCCAGGGCTGGAGCCAGCTGTTTCCAGAGTCCCGGGCCCAGGCTGACTTAGACCCCGCCTCAGTGCCCTTCCGGTCAGCGCTGCTGGGTCAGGCAGGAAGGCCGGTGAGAGCTAATCAAAGTCACAGCCTCATCTCCTTGGAATGGGGCAAGTGGCCCTCAAAGAGAGCAGCCTCCTAGGGGCTGGGGATTTAGCTCAGCGGCATAAGCGCCTGCCTTGCAAGCAGGCAGTCGTGGGTTCGATCCAAAAAAAAAGAGAGAGAGAGAGAGAGAGCAGCCCCCGGCACAGAACCAGCAGCACATCCAGGCAAAACCTTCAGGTCTACAGCCTCCACATCCTGGACCTCTCTACTTGCCCAGATCTTTCTCAATCTGTTTCCGAGATCCTTAATCTGGGCATTTCTTGACCAAAATGACTGAAATCTACAACACAAAAACCTGCCCAGGCATCTTGAACTCACTATATACCCCAGGTTAACCTCAGATTGCTGTGATCCTCATGCCTCAACATCCCAAGGGCTGGAATTACAACCATGTATAGTCATTTCTTTTAAGAAATGGCCCTCAGCACTCAGGAGGCTGAGGCAGGAGATTTACCACATATTCAAAATCAGGCCTGGGCTACACAGTAAGTTTAAGGCCAGCCTAGACTACATAGTGAGACTGTCTCAAAAAGAAGAACAAGAAAAAAAAGAAGAAGAAGAAGGAGGAGGAGGAGGAGGAGGAGGAAGAGGAGGAGGAGGAGGAGGAGAAAGAGGAGGAGGAGAAGAAGAAGAGGAAGAAGAAGAAGAAGAAGAAGAAGAAGAAGAAGAAGAAGAAGAAGAAGAAGAAGAAGAAGAAGAAGAAGAAGAAGAAAAGAAGAAAAGAAAGCAAAAAGAATCTCATTGTGGCCCAAACGAAACCACCACCCACAAGAACTAGTGAGCCAAATCTAGAAAAGACAGGAAAGTTTAAACTTCTGGCCGCTCACCTCTCTGGTACCTGTGCCTGTCTCTGTGGGCTGCACTCCGGGAGACTGGGGCTGCTTGGGATCTGGCCTTCAGGGAAAGAGGCTGGGTTTCCTGACAGCCAGCAAAGGCAGCAGCAGACAGTTTAAGAGTCTTTTACATACAATAGGACCGGCTTCCACTGGCTGCCTGATCTGTATCTTTCCTACAGATCCTACCCAAAAGGCTATGCTGCAGGCCAGCTGGAGGAGCAGAGCAGTCAGGCAAACCCGTCCACACTCCCTGCACCTGTAAGGGTGACCCTTTGTGTTGGTGACTTAGGAAGGAGACCCCTGGAAAGGCCTTGGTTTAGCTCCATGGCAGGGCACTTGCCAAGTGTGCTCCAAGCCCTGGGTTCACAGCCTCACCCTACTTTGGACCTCAGTTTGCCTCTCTATAACATAAACTCTGTACACCCATTTGGCTGGCATTCCCCAAAACCTTCTCAAATCTCCAGCATGCCCTGGCCTTGTAGTTCTCAGACATTACTATGAAGAAACCCCAAAAGTGGCCTTGGAGTATCTTGAAGGTGAAAGTGTGGAAGGCAGAGAGCATCCTCTTGGAGAGATAGAAAAAGAACGCTTGTCCTTCCTGAGATACAGTCAGTCTGGGACAAAGGTCCCAAAATAACGCAGGAGTGGATCCCTGCAGAAGGTTCGGAGCTATGGTGATACCAGAGCCGACATTTTAACCAGAGGATTATCCAGGAGGAGGAAGTCGGACAGTTCTTTATCCAATCAGCAAATAAAGGAGGCAATGAACAGTCAGGGTGGGAGACAGGAACAGCTGGGCGGGATAGATGGGGAAAGGGCTTTCCAGGCCCGGGACAGCCAGGCGAAGAAGCATGAGGGTGGTGTGAAGCTCTGGGGTCTCAGAAGCAGGTAAGGCTGCACCACAAGGAGCCTTCCTTGGAGCTCGGAAGGAGGGTGTTCAGGGAAAGAATGGATGCCTAGGAGGCCCAGCAGGTGTCCATCCTTTCTTCCCCAGCCATACTGACCACTCTGGGCCATTCTGCACTTTGCACTGGCCGCCCATCCTCCTGGCGTGCTGGCCCCTCAGATGTCCCCACATACCACCCTCCCCTGTGTCAGGCTCTGATGACTCCGCATCATGGAGGCCACCACTCCATAGCTCTTTGTTTCTTCATGAATCCAGGAGAGTTTGGCTCTGTTTGGTTCACTGCTGATCCTCACCCCTGGAACTGTGCTCCCACACTCGCAGGTGCTCAGCAGTTACTTCTAGACTGAATAAGCCAAGAAGATGAAAGACAATGGCTTTGGAGGCGGGGGGCTGAGAGGAGATGGGGCCTCGGGGCAGCAGGGACCCTGGAATGTCAGCCAGTCCCCAGGCCCAGCACTCTCCTTACACTTTACATCCCTCGGAGCTCCAATTCTGGAACCACAGTCCCAGACCTGCCCCTTTTCCCCTTCTCCTTCCTGTCGAGTATCTGAAATAAACCTAAGGATAGAATGTCACTTCTGAATCTTATGCCCAGACCCCCAAATTCCCTGCAAATATAAATAAGCCGCCAATCTAAACTTAGCCAGGACTTAGTATATTGTTCTCACCTCCATTTTGGAGGTATAATTCATATTTCCCCCCTTTAAAATGTATGACTAAGTGACCATCACCAGCATTTTCACCACCCCCAAAAGAAGTCCAGGAACCGTTAGAGCAGCGCTCCATTTGCCCCGCCACCCCCAGAATGACCTATTTTGCCCCTCTGGAGTTGTCCATTCTGCACCTTCACAGAAATGCAATGCACCACTACATGGCCTTTGTAGCTGGCCACCTTGCTCGGTGTTGAGGGACGCTTCAGCCTTCTGTGCCCTTTTATTCCATGGTACGGAAACACCACAAACTGTTCCCCACTTTGCTGCTGACAGGCTTCTGTTGCCACTTTCTGACTGCCGGGAGCATGTTGCACAAGTTTTGTGTGGACACAAACTGTGTTTTCCATTCTGTCTGGTGTGCATACAGTGGGAGTGGAACTGCTGGGTCATTTGGGACCTCTAGAATTAGCCTTTTAAGGAACCGCTGCACTGTTTGCTGAAGCTTCACCTCCGTGCGGTTTGCTGATGGGGAAGTGGGCAGCGGCGGGGAAAGAAGTGAGATCATGAGCTCGGTCTCCGGGCGCGGAGGGTGGGCCGGGCGTGGGGCTGCTTGTGAAAGGGATCTTCTGCTTCCCCACGTATTCAGTAAAGCTCTGAGCACTGCTGTGCAAGTCACTGTTCTAGGAGCTGAGTCATAAGAAGTGCCACGGCCACTGCCCACTTGGAGACAGAGTTGCCAGGGAAACCGGGAGCCAGAATCACAATGTCCACCAGCTTAACAGCGAAGGCGTCAAGAGGGTGTATGCTAATGTGCCCCGTCCTCTCTACAGTGACTGGGAAGTCGTGTTTGGAGCCAGCCTTTCAAAGGCACATGCGGTTCTGTACACCTTCATGGAGACCAAGCTGTGATGCACCTTGCTGAGCATGTGTGGTCACCTTTGCAGAGCGTCATGGAGGGGGAGGAACTATGTTGGTTCATTTGCATGCATGCATGTATATGTGTGTGTGTTTGTTTAGCACTGGAGATGAAGCCCAAAGGGGCTCTACTACTGAGCTATCCTCTCCTTTTTATTTTGAAATATGTCCTCACTAAATTGCGTAGGCTGTTCTCAAACATAAAATTCTCCTGCCTCATCCTCCCTAGTAGCAGGGATTACAGGTGCTTGCCATATCCATAGCAGGAATTTTTAAGATATCCTTGGTTTTAAGTCTCTGTGCATTAACTCCAACGCAGGAAATTCTCAGAAACAGAGGTCAGTGTAGAACGTGTGTCTTCCTGGATTCAGGGGCTGATGACAAGGCTCGGCAACCTGGGAATTACACAACCTTGACCCGTGTGCACTTCTTGCTAACTCCCTGGACACAGTGAAATGAACACTTCTGTTTCTGTTCCTGCTTAGTAAAAACAGCAAGAAAAACATCCCTGGGGTTGGGAGAGGGAAATCTCCGGACTGTTAATCCCTCGCACTCCATACACTGTGAGAGATAGGGAGATAGCGATCAGAGGACACTCCCGGGCTGGTTTCCCGCCTGACCCCGTGTACTTCCTGAACTTGCTGCGTCTGCTGGGCACCGTCCAGGCAGGGCCCTGGCTCCCGGGCAGCACGGCCCAGCCCATGCCTGCACCCTGAGGGACCTGCCTCATTCAGACTACAGCTGGTTAAAGCAGCCCCAGTCTGTCTCAAGAGCCCGCCTGGTCTGGCAGCTACAGGAAGCAGAAGGGGATGATGGTCTGGTTCTGTCTGGCTCCAGAGCCCACGCCATTCAGCCTGATACCCCCCATATACACGCACACGCACACACACGCACCCTGCACAGCTTTGCCTTTTCTTCTCATTCTTTCCCAAACTTTGTAGTAGTGTAGAAGTGATGAGCCCGGCTTCGGGGAGCTCACAATCTACTTAAGGAGAGAAGATGAATACATGGAAAGCATTTCCGCTCTCGGTCACAATGAGCCTGGCATTTTAATGGGCGATTCAACCTCCATGAGCTGAATGGCAGGGCAGAGGACAGTGCAAGTGGAAGGCACCGGGACTCATACCCTGGCTGCCGGGCAAGGCCGAACACAACAGCAGCAACCTCACTGCTGGTGTGTGTTTGGGGCTGACTATACCAGTTTGTTTGGTTTGGTTGGGTTTGATTTTGAGACAGGCTGGCCTCGAACTCACTATGTAACCCAGGCTGGCCTCCAACTATCAGTGATCCTCCTGCCTCAGCCTCTTGAGTGCTGGATTATAGGGATGTGCCACCACGCCTGGCATAGCAGGTTTTAAGAGCTTTGTAGGATTTGGTGGCTTGAACTCACCCTACTTCCCTCAAAGCAGACAGGACTACTGTGCACATTTTTTTGGAAAGGCTTTCTTTTTCCTCTAAGTAAACTTCATTAAGCTTGTTATTTTCTACTGCAATGAGCATGAGTCTAAAAGTCACACATATATTCTAATTTTTCCAATTTTCCAATTTTTCCAATTTTTTTCCCTGTGGCAATTTCAAGAGGCACAGAGGTTGCTGACCCTGGTCTCCTGGGGTGGCAAACAGCAGCTCCTACTTCACTCTGGTTCGTGTGTCACAGACGCAGTTAACCCAGGGAAGTTAGTGCAGGCAGAGCCCCGGATATGAATCTAGAGGACTCGGAGAAATCGCACTGTTTGGACGGAGATAGAACCGAAACCCACTTGTATAGTTGGCACCTCCCAAAATAAGGCGAATGAATTGTGCCATCGAGGGCAGCAGGGATTTCCTGATGATTTAAGGAAACACGAGAATGAACTCTTCACTCATCAGTCTGTGTTTTCCCCAAAATTCATAAAATTTGACCATGAAATTAAAAAAAAAATGATCACCACAGGAAGAAGGATTTGGCTTCCTTCTGTTGGTGGCTAAAATTGAGCAACAAGAAAAGCTGGATGGCAAGACAGAAAACAGAACAGGAATGAGCCGGTAAACTGATCTTTAACAGAAGCCCTGGAGGCCCAGGGAAGAAGGTGAGGGTTGGGAGTCGCCAGGCAGCACTCCCCAGCACGCTGTGGAGCCCCACATTCCAGACACCTCGGGACTTTGGCCCAGGCCTTGGTGAAGACTTTCTAAACAGCAGCATACATGAAATGGGCAGGGATTCAGGAAACCTGGGGCTCTGCCACAGCTCCCTGGAAGCCCAGCTGTGGACCCCACTGTCCTAAGCACTCAAGAACCCTTGGAGACATCCCCTCAACTCTGAGAGGAGATGAGCCATGAAAACACAGCCCCCACTCCTTCCCTTATTTGTAGGTGGGAATGGTGGAGAACCATGGGCCATCCTTCATTTATTTCCTTGAATTCCAGGACAGCAGCCTGAGCCACACAGCAGGCACTCAGAAGCCACCACCAGGCCACTCACTTTTCCCTCAGGCAAGGCGGGGCCCACTCTGTGGTCACCGTGGTTTTGTTTTATTAAAATCCTGAGGCTGAGGATTTAGCTCAGCGGCATAAGCGCCTGCCTTGCAAGCAGGCAGTCGTGAGTTCGATCCCTGGTACCGATAAAAACAAAACAAAAAAAATCC